GAAAAGCAAGACACAATAATTGACGTTTTAAATTTCAATACTGGGAAATATATTTTTGTTTTCGTATCGTCTAATAGATAATATATCTTACATATTATTAAATTAAGTTGCTGTATGTACAATAATTAAAAAAATAAATTTATTATTTTTATAGCATCAAAGTAAAAAAAAATGTTTCATTATACTCTGATTTTCAATTATTTCTCTCTCTTTTTCTCCATTTATTTTGTGTATTTAATATAAAGTTTTAAGTTGGTGCACATTACAAATTCTTATGTAAAAGTGATATAAATCTGTGTGGATTTATATTAATTTTATACTTAATATGTATTTTAATTTAAAAAATGAAATTTTTATTAAGAAATGATATAATTGTGTATATATATTACCTTCAATCTTTAAGAATGTAAAATACAATATACATATAAAACTATAAAAAAATATGTGAAGTTATGTTTTATATAACGTAAAATGAAAAGTAATATTCACAAATTCAGCTATCTTATAACAATATGTAAAGTCATATAAGAAAATATATATAAAATTTTATAGTATAAAATAATATTTAAGCAAATATAATTCTAATATATTTGATTAATTACACAGATTTAGAATGGGCGATCAGTCTGAATCGCTGCATGTTGAAAATTATCGGTTTGTGGCCAAGAAAAGAAAGTAAAACTCGATGTGAAGAATTATTATCAAAAATTCGATTTCTATTTAATGTTATTATGTTGATTTTCGTATTGACTATACCGGCTTTAATGTCACTGATAAGAGTATGGGGCGATATGATATTAATGATAGATAATTTACAATATACTCTGCCTCTTTTGATAACAATGTTGAAAGTTTTCATTATGTGGAACAACAAAGGAGGTATTTTATTATTTAACAACTGATTTATCTCAATCTTTTATATTTTTCTCTATTTTATTATTTTATTAAACTAATACGTAAATGCTTTGACTACTTTCTGAAACTATGAATTTTAACAAATATATACTACTCCATTATACTAAATCCATAAATTGAGTTGAGAACACGAGCACAATATCACAATATATATAATGTTACAAGAAAATAATATCACATATATATATATATATATATATTAAAAACAAATGATTTTCCTAGCTTTATCACCGTTGATTGACATGATCGTGAAAGATTGGATAAAAGTGAAAATGGAAGAAGAACGAATTGTCATGCTAAAACAAGCCAAAATTACTCGCTTGCTTGCTATTTGCGGAGCACTTATGATACTTTCTACGTTGTTGATAACCTTCGGCTCTTTTCTTTTTGGCAAGACACTTAGGCACGTAACGAATTTTACCGATCCGGTTGGAAAGCATTTGCCAATCCAAACATACTATCCGCACGATGTATCTAACAGCCCGAATTTTGAATTAACATATTTGATACAAGTAATCGGACTAACTACATCTGGTCTCTCTTATACCGCAGTCGACAACTTCCTTGGACTTCTGATCTTACATATATGCGGCCAGATGGAGAATCTACATCTGCGATTATTGAATTTGGGAAAAAATTCAAATTTCAAAGCGCTTTTAAAGTACAACGTAAAAGATCATATTCGCTTGATCAGGTCCTGAATTGAAAACATTCACAAGTATTCAAAATCGATTTGTCGGAACTTTTCTCTAAAGAAATTCTATAAAAAATATATCAAATTTGATTTTAAAAAACGCAATTTTGCCTTATGCTATAATTTAAATATTTTAGAAATAAGCCATAAATGTAAAAATTAAAATCTTTTAAAATAATAGAAATTAAATTTGTTTAAATCATTTTATAGAAAATGTATAAACAATATTTTACATAACATTTGAAATTCATATATTGTTTCTTATTTCATAATATCTATTTTACAGATCTATAGAATCTATTGATAACACATTCAATTTAATGCTACTCGGTCTGTTATTCTTTTTTGGTATATTGTTTTGTTTTGATGGATTTCTAATAATTAACGTAAGTAATACAGCATATATCATATTGCTAAGATCTAAGGTAGATATTAGAACTTATTATAATTAATTAATAAATAACAATATTGATGTTGTAAGATGCAATGCTGATCCTTTACATAGATGTTTTACTTTCTATAATTTTTCATGTAATATAACTTTCAAATCAATAAAATAATACATTTTAAAATATAATATATATAATTTTTAATAATTTAGGTTGTTGAGCGAGGTGGTCATTTGTCAATAATGCAATTGATTTGGTACATGTCCGCCACTATATGTGTTTTAATGCATACGTGTCTTTATTGTGCAGTCGGTGAACTTCTTGTGTCTCAAGTAAATATAGTAATAATGATTTCTTTAATAATAATTGCGAGAATAATCTAATTCTATACTTTAGAACGTTTTTACAATTTTAACTGTAAACGAAAATATTTTGTAACAATAATTATAATTTTCCAAAATATAAATTGTAATACGTCCATAATAATCGGGGTATCCTATTTGAAGCTTCGGACGCAATTATCTCTCAAACTATTTATAATCTCTTAAACTATTTCAAAAAATTGTTTCAGGTGGAACTTACTTTTGTTTATCATTTTTAGCTGATTTCGTATAAAAACAAACCAGAAATATATAAGTTAATTTTCACCTCTTTAATTATTAAAATCATCTTTTTATTAGTATTAATAAAATGCAATAATATTAATTCAAAGAAATAAGAGGGTCTCTTTAAAAGATTATGTCAGTATATCGGCGACTATCCTCTATTAAAACATATAATAATGAATGTGGTAGTATTAGCTTGCAGAAAAATAGAAATTATAAAATCGTACATTTTAACTGTAATTCAATCAATTTTTACAATCAAGTGACGTAATTTAAATAATTAATCTCACTTTTCTCTCATTGCGCGCAAGAAAGATTAATCCTTTAATCCAATTAATTTCTCAATAATGAATATATATGAAACATATTTTCTTAGTCTGAAAAAATATATCGCGCCACGTATGAATACGTTTGGTATACTCTGGAGCCAAAAGCAGCAAAAAACCTGACATTAATTATGCTGCGCACAAAGAAACCAGTCAATATTACAGCGGGAAAAACATTTCCAATGACAATGTCCACGTTCTGCAACGTGAGTTATATGACACATATAAGTAATATGTAAATCTTTTTGTGATTTTACTTGAATCATTAAATATTAGTATTCTTTGTGAGATTATCATATCATAATTTCTTAATAGTATATATTACATTTAAATTTATGTTTTACCGTTAAAGATTAAAATGTTTCAGTTGCTAAAAACATCGATGGGCTATGTATCGGTGTTACTTGCTAATGCCAATCGAGATTAACGACACAATTAGAGGATAAATTAATATAGTTAATTGTTCAGTATGTGTCATTGATGTAAAATTAAAAATAATACCTTTACATAAGTATTCTTTGCAAAATATTATATGGTATATATTGAAAATCATGTAAAATATTGAAAATATATTTTCTTTGTATACCGCGTTTCTTTAATGTTGCCTTTTAATCACATGTATTTTAATGGAATGTGATCGAAGTATTTTTATATCAATTATTGATCGCATAAGTAAAGGGATAGTAATGAAAAAATAAAACATATATAAGATAATATTTAAGAAGTATATTACCTTCTTATCTAATATATAAAAACTACTTTTTCATCGTATCTGTTTGTATTTGAAGTAATAAATCTCCTTTAGGTTTCAATTTATTGTTCAGGATTTCTTGTCTCTCTTCTTTTTTCTTTTCCTGTATTCTAGCATGTCTTTCAACAGCAAAATCTACCTCTCTTACTAATTTGACAATTTTTGCCTGGAAATCAATAGAATAAAGAATACATAATTTTAAAACAAGTAATAATTTTTATATATTTTACATATATCGCATAACCACGCTGTTTATCTAAGCGTGCTTTTTGTCTTACTCCAAGAGGCGTAGGTCTTCCATCTTTAAATGTATAATCTGCCATATTTGTCAAAAGACCAAAAGTATTTGGATTAACTGTTAATCCACGTCTAAAATATATTATATTAATTAGACAATTATAATTGGAAATTATACACATATCTGTTAATAGCATTAAGATCTATATCAATAAATTTTATACATAAAGTAATTCAAACACAACAAATTCTTACACTTTCGTATTTTCTACATATAGATATTATATAATAGATATATATATCTATTATATACATATATATAATATATATATAGATATTATATATATACTGTACAATAAATTTAGGCACGATTTTATGTTAAATATATCAGAATATATATTAATGTTCTCTATTTCAACATAGATAATTTCAGAAATCATACTTTTGTCTCCATTTCTGGTTTAAGTATTGTACGCAAGATTGATGAAACCCATTGACTACAATATTATAACCTGTAATAATGGATAATATGAATAGCCACCGATGATATATAGATTGGTAATTACAAACAATAAGTGATAATACCATAAGAAGAATTAAATATATCATTAATAAAGAACAACTTATAACCACAATAACTTCCTTAATACTAACTTATATGTCGTTCAACATGAAGCACAGCTCTAGCAGTTGATATCATATTTGAAGACAATGTTATATATCAATACGATATTAATTTATAAATGTTGCATATCAATTCAATACTTATTTAATTTCTTGTTGCAAATTCTATATATAGGTTAGGTTTATGCCCAGTAGATCTAACCAGCACTTTCTGTTGATATTTGCAGTGATACCAATATAAAACGACTGTTTCTTTTTAGCTACACATTAGCACACATTAGTTCATATAAGTATGACAAAAAATGGATGAATAATGTACTTAATAGGAGAATGTATTTATTTTATATAATTCAAATGTAAATAATGTAATAAAATACTACTACAAATAATGAGAAATACAACTATATTTGATATAATAAAGAAAATTGATAAATAAATTAATATTAGAAAAATGTTCGTTTATTTTATGTCTATTACATTTGTATATTACATAGTTGTTACATACAAAGTTGTTATCTACATTAATAATCTATAATTTGATATTCAATTTTGTACATTTGGAACGCGATATAAAAATTCTCCGTCGTCATCGTAATAACAATCGCTGATCCGATATGTCATTCCAGGTTTATAAAGATGCTTTGCGATCTTTATTGGCTTAGCATAGTTTAATTCTACGTCTACTTTTTTATTCCGCGCTATGATGGAAGTATTTAACAAATTGTCATCTGCTTCAATAATATTGAAGCTTCTATTTTTATCCTTAAAATCTATAGAAACATCTTTCTCAGATTGTCGTACAATTTTTGATGGAGCACCTTCCCCCGGATAAATTACTACATTGTCAGATGCTGTGGCAACTTCTGTACTCTGCGCTTCTTGACTAGCATCTACTTGCTTCCTGTATGCATTTAGGAGAGTGATACCTTCTTCCGGAGATTCCTCATTTATATCTTTCAATTTCACCTTTACAAATTCACCAAATGTAAGTAGCTTCTCTTTTTTTTTATTAAATGATATATCATGATTTTCTGAATCTGTACGCGATGTAGAAGATAGTTCCTTATTTAATCTACAAATCTCTGTACTTTCAATAACAGTCGTACTGTCGGTCGTAGTGCTTGCAGTCAATAAATTCTGATTTTCACAATGATTAGATTTATCTGTCAATTTACTTGAATTATGTTCTTGCGACAATAATTTCATATCCTCCTGTTTCTTATCGAGATAAGTTTGTACAATACTAGAGAACAACTGACTCTTTGGTTTCTTAAACTCTAATGTAGAGACAAACTGTTTCACTAATAATTCTCTGTCTGTCGAAATAATTTCCCTGTCCTTAAATTTCGTCAGATGTTCACTGAGTATAGGACTTAATGTAAGTTCACCCATCCGGAATTTTTCCCAATTTCGCTTCACCACATTGTCGTATTTCACAACCTTCTCTACTGATTTTGGCGACCATTTAGTGCGTAAGATTTTTCGTATTGTCTCTGGTAAAGCAGGAAAACTCTCGCTGAGTTTCTCTATTGTCCACTCTTCGGGATTGAAGTCATGTAACTTATGAATCAGTTTCTTTTCAGCAAATGTGAGGAAACGTGGTTCTTTCTCTTTAAAATACTTTTGAACAACAATTTGTTGTTTAAGACATTCTTTCTTGCTCTGCATCTCCCTGAAAAAAAATGTCTTATAATAAATTAATTAGACATCTTTTATTATATACGTTTTCACAATTTTCAACAAATAACAATTGCTTTCCATTTTCACACAAGTGATAATGAGTCTAAAGTTATATAAGTATTTTATACTATCCTCAGATGAGGATGTTATTACTTGCTTACTTTGATAACAAAATTATTGCATAACAATACAGGTTTATAATATATATCTCTCACTTTCAATGGATGCATTCCGAGTTATGTATGATTTATTGTTTTATCCTTCTTTATTATTTGATGAACAAGGACAAATGATGCATTATGTGCTTCATGCAAAACTTGGAACGCATCCAATAGTTAACAGGACTCAGTGAAATATGTAGTCTGTTTTTTTATTTCTATATTAGACTACTAGAATTCTCTTTCTAGTTTTTACCAAATATTAAACATATATTTATGTTATTTATCTGTATAGATCCATAATCTTGTACAGATTGTAAGTAGGTAAATATTCAATTGAAATTTCAT